TCTGTCACATAGAACTTTATTTTTCAGAAAATCACGATTAAAGATTTTGGGCTGCAGGATAAGACACAATCTGAAATATTGAAAACAGCAGTGCTGTTGCCTACCTAGTCGGTTAAAGCGCGAATTTGGCAATACGAAGGTAGACCGTTCGAGTAGGGGAGAGTTGCCTATATTGGACCGGCTCCTAGACTGGACCATTTGTGTATCTCTATAAAGAAATATATTTACAGATTTTCTGTTGGGTATATTGATTTAAGTAGCGGAAATAAAATGTGCGAGAACAGTGAAACAGGTAATTAATTTGTTTGTCGTTTCACGTCGTCGAGATATAGAAATACGTAGTGCGTGATCATTATTTTTCGTGCTATTTCAAGTGAATTCCATTTTACACCCTGTAAGTACCATAATTTTAAATAATACTAGTATAAAGTGTACTGTCTTAGCTACAATTTCATATTCATACTTTCCCATTTTCGTTTAAATTTTAACAATGAAAATATATTTTTCTGGTGCAACCTACAAAGTTGCCTAATATTGGTCCACCGCTAGTTGCCTAAATTGGACTGGTGTATTCTAGGATACAATCTACATCCTATATAAAAATAGTTCAAAAATAGTTCAAAGTATACTAAACAGGTTTTTTTCTATTAAATTTTTCATTTTATTCAGATTCAAAATGGCGACAACACGAAAATATGGAAAATGTGAAACCCACTAACAAAACGTACTAATGCACTACGTGCACCGTACGATACTTTTTTCTTACTGTTTCTACTTTTTTCAATGTCCTGAACAGTTTTTTTTAAATTGTAGATTCAATTTTATTGGTTTTTAGGAGCGGTCCAATATAGGAAACCGGTGTTCTAAATTACGAAACCAGTTGTTTGAAACGGACCGAAATCATTAGTTTAGTTTTGTTTAAGATATTACTCTTATCACACATTTTTTCAAAACGATCAATACACCATACAATCTACGTATAATGCTTGTCTTTTTCCGTTTCTCTTTGCATCCTGCGATGTTCTATGCTTGTGTAAGAGAGAAAAATAAAAAAGTGGTCCAAAGTAGGCAACTCTCTCCTACCCCGTTTACACCTGTATAATTTTTTTCTAATTATTATACGAATTGTTTTCATTATATTCCCGTTGAAGCTGTTGTAAAATGTCTTCAAACCAAAAAAATATTCGACATAAGTGTTATTCGATACACTTCGAACAATCCAATTATTGCACTGATCATTTTATTTAATCCTTTTGTGACCATATCAGTTTTTCTTTAAAGAATTGGTTGTTTACCTACCAATCATCGCGTCTGTCTGTCTCTTATGCTTTCGTATCTTTTTGAAGAATCTTATGCGAGACGTATTTGTCTCGCTGAACCCCATTTGTCGTGAATAGGGAAACGGATTTTGGAAGAAACAAATTTTTACAACTGATATTATTATTGAAACTACTATACTCTTATGAATTGTCCTTCACACAAGTTAAAAATTACTTCTTATAGAATCTTTTGAAGTATGGCCGGAACACGAAACAACGTCTATAGCAGCAGAGACGCAAAATAACTCGAAAATATTATTCAAACAAACAAGAATTTATACATGTAGCCTTTCACCTGAACTATCTCGCACAAAGAACAGAAATAAACGTAAAAATTCACAGTAACAGCAAGACGAAAACATACACCCACACAAAGAAATCCATTACTAGGGTTTTACACGGGGAGCTATGATCTGGTATGTCTCACACAGTTCGACCATTCAAGTGGCACATATTTGTCGCGCTAGCCATAAAAGAAACGAACTGGCACGTCACAGTACCTACACTTCCAGTACTCAAGTAGGACATGTGCGTCCTGCTGGTCACGAAAGGATTAAATAAACTTATAAAAAATATTCAACGTACACTGCTGCACATAAGTATCAGAACACCTGGTCTGTATGAAGAAAATGTGATGTTCAGTAAAAATTGCATATTTTAGGGCACTTTTATTACTTCATAGTAGCATGAGCGTTGACTATCGACCTTTAATTAACATCCCCATAACAATATTTGTTTCACACTTCCAGCAATTTCGTAATGCCCTGTAATATTTATTCTATACTCGATAAGTGTCTTAATACTTATGGATGGGATTGTATGTGTATGCTAGTACTAGAGGACGTGGTCTAAATATGGGCTAGTACTTTTACTTAAGGGACTTATTGCACAAACCTGTTGAAGATTTTTAAGTAATATTTCAATGTATCCAAAACATGTTTGCTTTATCACATGGAATTAAATTAAACTCTTTTTGCTTTTGTATCGCAGTTTCACACTATTCCCGCTATAGTGAAGCACCTAATAATGACCATATACTTTTAACTATCCCATATTTAGACCCTAGCCTGTATTTGAACCGCCTCTATCGTTGAAAAATTACAACGCGTAAACTCAAGTCCGTGGAATCCTGGAGAATCACCGAGAACGATAAGAATATTATATTCCACAGGCAGTAATTATTTCAATTCACGTCTTTTAAAAAAAGTACTTCCAATTTTGTAGCTAATATCGAATCATCCGACGAGGATATGAGAACTCACAAAGAGCTCAGGGATTCGGTCTGTACTCATATTCCTCAGTTTCAACGTTTCAACGTTAATAGCTTATATCACTGTTTTTTCCCGTTTTAAAGTGGTCAAACGAAAGGAAAGGGTCGGTAATTCGAGTAGCTCTCGTATCTTCGAGGCAACCTTTGCCCTCGTTCGCTGCTCGTATTCCATGGCTCGACGCTTTTCGGCCGAGACACGGAAAATGTACGGATTTTATCGAGGAACTCCCGTTGGCCCGGTGCCAAATCGTACGTGCAGCTCACTGTAAAATCATTCGATTTTAGTTTCCACTATTTTCCCTTTGCCGTTTCTCGGTCTACGTTTGAATAAGTTATAAGATAACGGCAGCTCGTCTAACATTTGTGATAGTGAACAAAATGTATCGTTCGAAGCATTTAACCGGCGTTATTTTCATCTGATGCCCAATATGAATTTAAGAGTAACTTTAAATTTAGGTTTAACAACAGCTCATTACATTTGGTTGAAGCACAAAAATGTACAGCTTCTGCTCTTTTCCATCTCTTCTTTCCTATGTTTTACTATTTCTGTACTCTTCTTCTTTCTCTTTTCCTCTCACTTTCACTCTTCCTCTTCCTCTATTTCATACTGATTCCTGTAGACTACGAACTACACTCATTTAGAGTGCAACGCATGAAATGAACTAATTTACAAAAAATTACTAATGGTATATAGGTACTTCAATATTTGAAATGGTAACAGTTCTAATGTAGAAAACCTTGAATTTCCATAAATTCTACAGTGACATAGCATTTTACCTAAAATTCGAATAATAGAAAGATGTAAAATATGTACTATACTAGAATTTGCAGTCACATCAATCTCTGAATTCTAAATCAATAGACTAACGGACAGTGCGGATAGAATTTTCAAATAGCGTAATATTCTTCCGTTATAGTGATTTAAGCATTAAAAGTATAAGCAACAAAATAAATGTAAAATATGTTAAAAATATACTACTTTTTTAATAGTCTGCGCGTTGTATATATTTGTTACTCCTAAAAAGCACAAGTTTAGTACATTACGGTCCGCTGCTCTTTCGTTGAAAACCTATTCTCTGTGGCCATATGAGCATTGAAATTACGTAAAAGATTAAAAATCTGTTTACATCTAGAAATCAACAATACTAATAATAAGTATCTTTCAACAAGCGTGTGTGCCCAAACAAATTTGTGCACACACGCACCGTAATATGTTAATGTGTTGGGCTTTACTCATTTCAGTCTTTGAAATGTAATAAATGTGTCTTTAGTAGTTAGAAGGTACATGTTCCTACATAATCACCTTTATGGTATTCTACTTCTATTTCAGGATAAGAATTGATCGTAATTAGTATTTATTTTTTCAAATATTAGTGGCCCTGGTATAATTTGTTATAAGGACGTAGCACTGTGACAAATCTGAAATGCTTTCTACTGACATTGAGTTCTAAGAGCTATGGAACTTTAACTTTTACGGGATCTGTATTAGATATACATGGCCGCTTAGAATTTCAAATTTCTGATTGCACTTCAAAAGTGACTAAAAATTTGGCTTATCATATTTTAATACATAAAACTACGAGTTGTACTGAATTCTGTACGTAGCTTCGTATCCTCTAATGCATATCTTAATTTATCAGTTAATCTAAAAATGGGATTGTTCGATTAAACTGTCACATTTCACATGTAGGTAAATAGGATCCAAGGGACATATAACGTGTTTAATACGAAGTCGGTAATTTTAAGCGACTTTTATTTATGTACCTCAACGAAACACAACAAAGTCCACAGAATTATTACTAAGAAACCTGAATTTCTAATAATAAATCTTTAAATCTGAAACTAATATTGAAACAGCTGGATTAATTGGAATCTTTTTGCTGAATAATATCTGTATTACGAAATACTTTCTTTCAAAATCTTAAACAGAGTTCTACAAAGTTACATTCCAATAAATATATTTGTCTACAGAAAATACTATGTAGTCGAAGAGCTTAAGGCGAGTTTCTAAACTGCGATGGATATCACGTATATTTTGTGTGCAACAAAATTGATCTGTGCTTCATTTTATTTTCCTCGAAGAGGTTACCTACCTTTGGTTTATATTGCGAATGAGGTGTCCTCATTGTATAAAACCGATACGTTCAAATTGGCAGTTTCCGAAAGACGAAACAGCAAATAAAGACTTGTTCACGTCCTGCGACATAAACTTCAATTCTGCAAAATCTAGTATTCATGGGCACGACACAATAAACGCTAAGCAAGGCTTTGTTTTAGCTTCGATGCTTCGTAGCCGTTGTTAGAATTTCCTCAATGATCTACGCGAAAATTTTCAAAGCTTTCAGTCCCGTGCAATAGGTGTCGCACGATGAGTTCTAACGGGCACGGGCAAATAGAATTTAATGGTTTACCTTGGACTCGGTAGCGATGACTTCCCGCAATTCCCGCAGGAAGGCCCCGAAGAACGGCACCACAGGACATTCTGGCATTGCCAGAGCGCGGGCGAGCGCGAACTCATATTCGGCGGATAAAAGGGCGGAGGACAGACTCTCCAAAACTGGTATTGGCTCGCTTACGGTATGCCAGAACGGCTTCAGCTTGCTGGATCTGCAAAAAATGTTTTAATTGGTCAAACTGACATTCTTAATGTTGATTGACGTATTCGCTTATTTGCTGCAATAACTAGGGATGAACCGATCCAAGTAAATACAAATAAGTAATCGATACTCCCGTTTCGATACCGAGCATTTTTAGTGTCGATACTTTTAGTTGCGATATATGTATACTCGTTATCGAACCAAAGTACATACTCATATCGAATGGATGGAGTAATAGATAAGAAAGCTAATGAAGGTGAAGGTGGTTGTCGTCTGGATATATTAGTTTGTTAATAAATTTTCGTTAATGAAATATGTCTTTGCTAATAAATGTTCATTAATAAAATATATCTTGGTTAGAATCAGAGATAGGCAAATTCATTATCTAGATAAAGAGTTTCGAATAACGAATAAAAGGTAAAAAAAAAGTACTTCGTCCCATTCAATCACTTAAACGTGGAATTTCCAATTTTTATAACAAAATAATACTTCCTGAATTAGTCGACATTTGGCAAGCAATTATTTAATCTCATGAACTGTTTAAAACTTAGGATGACTTGCTTAGATATTGCAGTTTCTTCTTATGGTATTATTTGAACAAAATTCTACTCAACTCTGATTAAAATATATTATATTAATAAAAAAGAACTTTGTATTCATTCTCCTTCGATATAAGCAAGTATGGATAGTTTTGTTGCGATACTAATAATAAGTAGATATCGATACTTTTTATCGATACAAGCTTTGATTAAAAGTATCGATACCTTGACGGTATCGGTTTATCCCTAGCAATAATGACATAACTCAAAAGTCACGATTTTAGTGAAAACGAGTTTAAATATTTTAATCGCTATAATTTTATTGGGAAAGTCAGAATTTCGATACGCCAACTAATGACGGAAAATGATACTACTAATTGTAAGAGTAGGTCGAGTATCCACATGATCAACAATGTTTACATAGATAGATTGAGAAAAACCAGTGTTTTTATATTTGTTGTGCTATTTAATGCTTTTAAATTAATCGGTATAATAACAGTCATAATTATTTAAACGATGTAAAAAATGTATACCATGGAATTTTTTCCTAGAATAAATAGAAGTACAATTATATTGCTGGCTGTAACAGATGTGCATGTAAAAATAATACTGTTTGTTTTTGCCATTTTCCCCGGCAAAAAGTAAACTCGATGAAATGAAAAAATAAATTAAATCAGGAAGACATTATTGATTGCTTCAGTGCATGGGTGAAAGTTTTAAAAATGGGCAAAGATGTATCGTCGTCTATGAGAGTATGCTCATTACACTTTACAAAAGACGATTTTATCCCAACAAGTAAGTATTATTATAAACATAAGTAGAGTTGGACATAAAATTTATTATTTTCAGGAAGACGTGTCGCAAATTTATCTAAGTTATAAGTAGACTGTCAATATTATGCATTTATAGAACATTCAATTGTTTGAAATTCAATACAATTAAAAGTTTCCAAAAATTCATTTAAATCGTCTTTTTATTTCGAACCTATTAGAACCCTTAACAGGGTAAATAAATTTTTCTTTACGTCCAGTTTCGAGAAAATAACACATATGTAGAATTCTATATTTGCATACATAAACATTCGCAGTCTAGTTATACTATAAGTCACACCAATAATTCGTCCGTCTATTGAGATTTCACCACTAATTTCATATGGGTCGTCTTTTAAATTTGATCTCTGATGCAAAAACGCAATGATTTCAATGACATTATTGTCATTTTCATTTAGCCTTCCACGATTGAAAAGGTGGTCAGATTAATTATATTTTTACCACCAATAAAATTTTAACTTTAGGGTGTTGCACGCGAGAACTTACAAATTTCATTTATGGAAATTCGCATTGTTCTTTCAATTCAAATTACAGACATCTGATTCAAACAGTTTTATAGTTGTTAAAACCCACTGCGTATTACCAGTATTTAAACTGTAAATGGAGGGCCAAAATCTAAGCCACGCCTACACCGACTTTCCCAATAGGAACATCATATTAAAGTGACTGCCCTGACGTGGTAAGCTTTCGAAGTTCACTCACAGGAATCAACTGATAATTTTCTGTAGTAATAACTCGAAAACTGCAAATTTTGAGTTATGTTTTCGTTGCAGCAAAAATGCGATATAACTTATAAAGTACAGTAAAATACAATGCATTTTTTGGATATACATGCTGTATACAGGGTGGGATAATAACTATTACCACCTCAGATATCTTCGAAACTATAAGGTTCACAGAAATATTGGTTTAACCAAAATTACACAGTACGAAAGGAGCCATCCGATGGCGCTAACAGTTTTTTTGCAGGTGGAGGTACTTTGGATATTTCAAGGTCACCTCCATATTTTTAAATGGATCGGTATATTTTGTTTCCGTAGAATGATAGAGGAACTTCAAACGAGTTCAACGATCTATTACATAAGTTCATTGAAGGTCACAGAAAATGAGAAAAACGATAATGCTCACGGTTTTCTTCACTGAAAATAAACACGGTTTGAATGACACCTTAATAAGTTTTCAGGATAAGATAAACATGATAAGAGTAGTATTGTATCGGTCAACCGGGTACGATGTATCCTTTTGAAGAGCAAGTCGATATGCTTCTTATTTATGGCGAATGCCAACAACATTCTGTAAGCGCACAAAACTTGTGTGCTGATCGATATCCACATCGGTCTCAGTCGTCGCGTTGAACCTTTAAAAATTTGCGTGATAAATTTAGGCAAATCGGTAGTTTAAGTGTTCGTAAAAGTAAAGGCCGAAAGCAAGTAACGAACGAAGAAAAAGAAATCGGTGTGCTCGCAAGTTTGGCTACAAATCCTCACTAGTTCGCGAATCTGGCATTACTAGGAGAAGCGTACTTCGCATTTTGCACCGTCACGAATTTCATCCGTACCATGACAGACTTCACCAACAATTGCAGGGGAACGACTTCATGAATCGCGTTGAATTTTGTCGATGAACTAAACATCGGATCCAATATTACTACCATTATTTACTGATTAGGCACCACTCACAAATCACGGGAATGTTAATTTGCATAACATGCACTTATGGACAGCGGAAAATCCAGATTGGCTGCGGCAGGTTGACAATGGTCTGTGAACGTATGGTGCGATATCAATTTTGGTTAAACAAATATTTCTGTGAACCTTGTAGTTTCGAAGATGTCTGAGGTGGTAATAGGTATTGCCAACCCTGTATACACGCTTTTCTCTTTCTTATGGAAATTTTATTAATATAAGCTTTACAGTCCTTTTTAGAAGTTCTTGTGACATTTATTCCCCGGAAAGGGTGTTCTAAAGGCGACATTAACTTTATGAAATATGCAAATATATATTCTACAAAGAAATTAATTATGGACTGTGGAATATTTTAAGAAAATATTATCAACACAGTAAATAGTAGTATCATAGACGATTTTAAGATACGCGGTAGAAGTTTCACGACATTATAGGTCACTTGGTATCATGGTACATGTAACACTTCAACTATTGGGTTAATCGCATAGTTCCCGAAACCGAAACTCAAGCAGTAACCTTACAACGAGATTAAATGTAAAGAATATAGACGATCATCGTGGACAATTGTCCTGTTCTAGGACCACGTTCGAGCACGAAGTTTTGTCATTTCTTTTCGCGATACCAGGGGCTCGTACTGGTTTTACAGTGCCGGTAATAAAAACTATTTTATATCTACATGCTTCCGTAAATGGACCACCAGGGTGCCACTTAAAGCAAACCATGCTCCCTTGGCAAACACGTAAAAAGGCTCGAGACTTTTAATGACGAGAGGAGGTCGATGAATTCAGAACTACGGAAACAATGATTTGCACCAGTTGAATATTTTTAGTAACGTTTATTGCGGAGCTTGCATTTACACCTCTGACGAGGGACCAATCCCATAACGACGTGCATTTAGCGGAAATACACGTTACATCCAGACAGATTTTCAAATTTGTTCATCCAAAGCATTGTTTTGGAGATTGTTGGATTTAAAAAATCGAAGTTGCTAAACTTGCTGTTTTATATGAGTGACCAATGTGTCTGTCTCTTGTTCTTATCTTTATAATATTTATAATTAATGCTTATAACGGTATGGTGTTATAATTTGTTGTTGATTTATTAAATTATTTCTGAATTATTAGTTTTTACAAAGTTATAGTGAAGTTATAATGGACATACATGTGAGCTAATTGATATTTGATACTAGAACTACCACCGTCGAATACACACTCAATTAAATTGTATAATATATGATATAATGCAATATAACATAACATATGTAGTATAATGAAAAATGTATAATCAACTAAAAGTAAACAATATAAGTTTCAACAAAGGCATCTCCATGCTTTCAGTAATTGTAAAACAAAAAAATTGAAATACGTCATTTTACTTGTTATTTAAATATAACAAACTGTTTCCGAGTTTATTTTAATATGTTTTGGTATGCATAAACATCTTCTTTTCGTTTGTATAACAATTTCCGTCCCACCTTGTATAAATTTCATTATGTTTCATTTCCACCGAGAGACAAGATTACAATTTCATAGAAAATTCCAATTACGGAACAAAGTATACCACAGCTGATACAAATAAATTTATTATTTGTAAGTATATTTTCAACAATCAAAGTAAATCCTGAGTGAAGCCAGTAATTTATTGTTATGAATGATCCATATAGGAGTGCTCCATAGGTAGGGAATTTCTAAAAAAAAATACTGTTAATGACATAGATAATTTTCTCGGAGATTATCCTTCTTTTACCGAGTACGTTCCAGTAAAGTGGAAACAGTTTTGCGGAACTGTTAGCGAAGAAACGTGGTTAGAGTGCGAAATGATTTTAGAAATTGTGTGGTCAAACGGAAAATATGTTTTAAAGAAAACCGTGCCACGCGACAGGTGGAGAAATTTCTTTGGAGTACGTTCCATCTCCACGAAATAATGCATGTTCAAAAATAAGACATACGGAAGGAGAACATGCCGTGTTTAATAATGCATGCGACCTCAAAAATATAGACGATTTTTAGCGTGGCTTGATATTTCTTTTGTTAAAAGGACTTGCGATATAATGATGCTACTTACAAACGTATAAAATATATAATATGAAGTGTAACGTTTAAATAATTCTAACCACTACTCTTGTCTTTCTTTCCTTCTTTTACGTCGTGTCATCTGCCAAAGGTTATTAGCAATGGCAATGTTCGATTATTTATTATTATTACCTTATATTTCAAAATTATATTGTATGCACTAACTTTAAATGGTCCAGAGTATTATTCAGGTTGTTCATATTATTACTAGTCAACGTTTTTCTTGTAAATGGTAAGTGTACAGGGAAAAGAGGAAAATGTTCGAATAATGAAGACGATATTCTTTTATATTACATGAAAGCGAATACCAAGAGAAATTCAATGATGTAGAATCATATTTCGAAGCATATTAGAAGAAGCGAAAAATTCATTCTTGCTAATGGAAGTCACATTGAACACTCTATGTAGTCTTATCAATAAGAAATGCAAGTAAACAGAGTGCTACAAAGCTATAATACATCTCTTATTCCTGACTTTATGTGATCTTAAATACAAAGAACATGAATTTATGTAAGAAGAAAAACAACTTTTCATTAAAAAATTAATAGGTCACCTTTGTTACTCGAAAATTATTTTGAATGTTAAAAACAAATGCAACCCATCGTGTTGCATATATTTATTTTACGTCTTCACGCTCTAATTGAAACTATAACACGCGATATCCTTAATACATAGTCATTTTACATTTTTTATAATAAACTGTTAAAATTTGTCATTTTTCTGTAAACGGAAGTATGTGGCGCTGTGTGTAATGTGCGTAGAATGTGCGCTGATCGTTTCTGTTATGTAGTCGTACAAAAACAGTATGAATGAGTACGAAATGCGCAGTGTATTGTCTCAGTTAAAACTATTGGTTTATTGTACTTATTTAGACAGTTCATATATTCTTTTTGTATGTTCTTTAATATCTTTTATATTATATAGATATAGTTTATCAACTAGTGTTATCTTTTTTCTCTGATCCACAAATCTACACATTCTAACATAAACTTTTACATCTTTTATAAATATGTGATTCCATATGCATACATAATCCATATACATATGTATGTATGTATAACCTATGTGAGTCGTATAGTATGTATTCATATACATACGGTTACAACGCATTTTGCGCCGTGCCCCTTCCGGCCCGAAATTCGACTCGGGCACGGAAGAACCGCGAACCGGACCGCCCCCCGCAACTTCTCACTCGCGCGAAATAACATCCGAGCGCTCCTGGAGGATTCGTAGGGAAATGCTACCGGTAGAATTTGAACTAAACACGTGGTGATCTCGCGCCGAGTTATCGCTCGCGATTACAGGGCCGTGGCGATCGGGGTCGATTCAAGACGGAGGACGCGGTATCGGCCGTACCCACCGACTCTGATCCAGGGACCGCCCCGGAATCCCGTCGAGTGGCCGCTCGACCGGATAAGGGTCCTATCCCAGGGGGATAGGACAGGAGGAAAAGGGCCCGCCCTCACATCGAGCACAGGTTTCGAGAGGAGCTTGGTCGGCCGAGGGGGCAACGTGAAACCACCCACCGGACAAGGATCGGCGACCCGGACGTCTCCCTCCGAAGAAGGACCCCACGATGGTGGTAGCAGGGGGCAGGGGACCCGTGAGGAGTTGCAGCAACCACCGAGGAGGGTGTAAGACTGGGCTCCTCAAGACAAGGGAAGGAATCTCCATGGCCAGGGGATCCTTCCTTGGCGTGTCGTCCCTGAGTCAAAGGGGGGTACGCGGGGCAATAGGACCGCCTAGTGGGGGGCCCACTAGATCCTCGCGTGGCGTAACGAGCCCCGAAATCGTCACTTGAGTGGCCCGTATCGTAGGGAATAATCGGTAGCGTATCGCGCGTGCCAAGGACCCCGGAAAGGAGCTAGGCAGTGAGGAAGAGTACCGTCGAACTGTAAGTGAGCTCGTTCATCTGATCTCTGTAGGGCAATCTAGATCTCGTCCGTCCCGATTATGTCGCGATAGAAAATCTAGTATCGCATCTCGCTAACGCGCGCGGGAGAACCACGGGGGTTCATCGGGAATCAGAATATCGAGAATTCCGGGCAGCTTTCCTCCAGGACGCAAAGTCAACGCGCCAGTCACTAAAGTCACTGTACCAAAATCTGTAATCGGCGGAGCGTAATACCGACCGCGCCTATGTAAATTTCGTATGGAACATCTCGAGCGGTCGTGGACCGCGAAATAGCGAAATATCGTGTATCTTACCGGAATCCGGTGTTATCGAAGGCGCGGGTCGCGACGATAGTCGACCGTCGAGCCATTTATTCTGCTGTTAAATTACCGAAACACCTGTGTTGTAACGTGGTCTCGTAAGAGGCCGGCGCGAGAAATCTAATAAATTGTTATTCGATCTGTTAACCGATCCCGAGAGGTGGTTTTGATTTCTCTTACTTGTCTGTATCGTCCTACGGGAACTTCTGTCGCGAGGAGAGTCTATCGTTCCGATATTTGCGAACCCAGGGAACCCTGGTTTTATCGAAAATCCGTCGGTGGGTGCTTTCTTCCCGGTTGTACGGTAGATTTCGGCCCCATCGGAGGGGCAGGTTTCGGACCGATATTCGGGGAATATCGGTCGGTACGTAAAATCGTACCTGGCGCCCGGTAAAAAGTCGGAGGAACTCGCGGGGCCGCGACCGGGGGTGAGGGGCCGGGAGGGAGCACTTTGTTCGTGCCGTGTAACGGCCGCGCGACCGGCTGAAATCGCGGATAACGTAACAATACATAACATGGAACGCATCCCTCGCGTAATAGGAAGGTTTACAGACTACTGTATTTTTCATCGTTACTTACGTCGGACTTTCACGTGAAACCCTAACACCGGACAAATGAATTCAGACAAAGACATTTTTCGTTGTATTTGTTGTTATGGTGATGTTACTGAAGTTCTGCCCTCCAGAGTGTTTGCTATTATTCCGACGCAAGCTTTTATAAAAATTACACGGAGCCACCTACGTATCATAAAATATAAAATAAGTTTTATCTGTATATTGCTGGACAAAAGTATTCGGACGTTCCATGTACGAGGTAAAAGTTCAGCAAAAATTTTCAAATAAAATATCATAGACGATTCAAATGGAACGCCATCATCCATATTTTCTCGATGTGTGGACCCCCAAATATACGGTATATTCAAGAAAATAAACAATTTGTTCGAGGAGGACATTTAGAAAATATATCGAGTGTGGTCGACCTAAAAAAAATAACAATTACACAAGACAGGCGTTGATTATGTAATGCAACGTCAGTAGTATCCTTAATTCAAATAATACAGGAAACGGTTTTTGTCCGAAAACATTTGTCCAGTACTGTATTTTATTTGACTTTCTTCTAATAAGATCTTGCATATATGAGTCTGATTTTATGTAGTTTAATAGTATTTGTAGCATCATGGTGCCATTGAGCGATTATTAAATTAAAGTATTGAAAACACTGCATGATATTTAATGGATAATTCCCAGAAAATGGTGGTCATGGATGTCTCAATTGTCTTTGTATTCACAGTCAGTTAAAAACATTCTTCATGTAACGTTAGAACCATCTATTAAGTTAAGTACACTTTCTATGTAACACGGTCTTTGGTTCGGACAGTGTAAATTATGTGTTCCCTTGTGTGGATCCATATACGTGCAAGGACGGTAACTGTTTCTAAATGTGACGATTAATATCCGTGTTCATCTACCTTAACGTCGTGGATGACAAATGTGGGTTAATTATTTATCACGCATTTACTGAAGAAGTTATATGTCTAATTAATCTTATTAAAAGAAGCAGCGTGAAATATCGTTTATAAATAACAGGGGTACTGTATTTTCTTGTATTATGTAACTTATTTTGACATTTTTATACGAAAAATTATACCGCTATGTGGATTATCCCAAAACGTTAATTGTACTGTTTATGATTTTAAATTGCAAAATCATGAGTGGGAAATTTGTAGTATTTCGTAAATTTTTGGAAAATTTGTAATATTTTTTTCATATATGTACGTATATGTATCTTAATAAAATTTGTTCTTCAACAAATCAAAACGACCGAAAAATGTCTTAAATTTAAATCAATCTGCTTTTACACACTGATATACGTAACATATTTGTACATAACATATACTTTTTAGTCATCTATTGTGTGAAATAAATACGTTTTACAATAATATGATTAAAATTTATACATTATATTAAACCATGTTGAATTACCGCCTATTTCATACTTATGAAAATAGAAACAGAAAATACATACTAGCGATATAAGAAAGCGCTGCTTACTTGAGACCGGCAACAATTTCCATGGCTGAATTAAAATTTCCGGTGTTCCAGCAGGTTTGAGCCACTCGAAGCAGACAAGACAGAGCTGCCTGTCTTTCTTCTATCGTCGCGCCGCTTACTATGATGTGTGTGGCCCATGAGCTTACCTGAGTAACACGGTAAAAATAGTACAGAGTAAAGTAATTTGTACATTGTTCTATGCATCAACATAAGATACGAAGCAAAATTTGTTGTCCTCATGAATGTTTTATAAACTTCTAAAGAACATAAACAGCATTAGAAGATGTGAAAAATTTTTACTATATAAACAATAACAGATAAATAACCCAATTGGCGAAAGAATATAACCAATACTGGTAACAGAATTATAGAAGAATGTAAAAATAATTAGAAATAACTTCACCAGGTGTGAAAATCATTTCACTTTTTACTTTCATAATCGGTTTATTTGTTCGATGGTAAAGAATTAAAAGGAAAATTGCATTTAATTCATGGTACAGTTAAAAATCATTACTTCGTTATAGGTACTGTTTCGGAATGAAAATATAAGAGACGCGTTCGTCAAAAGTAAATAGGACATAGCGCTCTCGCACCATACTGCGAGCCTGTTCACGATTGCGTGCGCCCAATGCCGATTTGCTAGTTTCGTTCCTGGATTTCGCGACCATGTTGCGTGAGAGCGCGTGCGTTAACGTATTTACGGAATCTGCGCAACTCTGTTCGAACTATCGATTATCTATCAATATTTTTGTGGTGATCGATATTCTTGGACCAATCCGGTGCTTCTCTGAAAAATCCTAACGAATTTGGAACTAAAACCAGTAGAAACTTCGCTGCTCGCCGAGCATTCTGTCGTGAAACTTTGTAGTAATCGCAGATCTTAACAAACTTCTCATTTTTCAACTCGTTCGTTAATTATCGCAACACCACCAGTGTTATATTTATCGTTCTCGACGCTCGAGTACAATTGAGGCGAAAATGGGCGATTAGTATATACGATTTTCGTGATCGCCTAGATTTTTTGTGTACGGCACTCTCGATCACCACTTCGCGGCTTTCCAGTGCCCACCGAGTGTAATCGCGTTTTCGTGAGACATTGTTAAGACTCTCAACAATAAACTGTTCCGGCCAAACTCCGGTGTATCTTTTTGCTGCAGCACCACCTTCACTCCGTATCCTTTTCAGGATAGAACTAGCTATCCTAGGGCGGTCGTTTCATTCCAATGATCGACTCGGCCCGCAATAAACTCGCAACATAAACAGGTACGTATCTCTTTATATTCATTTTCATATTTTATTTATAGCTCCTGCATTTTGCTAATTTACACTCAACCTATGGTACTTTCGTTAAATAAAAAATAAACTTTTAAAAAATAATTGTTATTATAGTTACACTGTTACAGTATACCAAGTAATGAATTTATTTTCGCTGTAACATCGAAAGTCATTTTCTTGCGACTTACAATTTGAATTGGAATATGTCAAGTCGAATTTATTGTGTAGCTATTGTCTGCCATTAACCCTGCCACGATCATTAGTCAGCTATACGTTCGAAATAATGACGAGGAAGGAAAGACACGAAAATCAGTAAGAATTTCCTTAGATATTTCGCAAACCTAAGAAGATTTTTGAAGAAACGAGATTAAGATTAAGTGGAAAAAGTGCGTAGTCGTAACAGTATTGAAGAAACGAAAACGTGATTCGATCGAAATAGACCCAAAAACCGTAGCAGGGTTAAGAATTACAAATAAGGGCGACGAGTAAGTCGAAAATACAAACAAACCTAAGGAAGTCACAAGAAATAGCGAGCATTAAATATCAATATGTAATTAAACGATTCACTATACGTCTGTTTCAGTAAATTTCCAAATGTAACTTTCCGGTGTCAATACCTATATTAAACTTTATATTTATCGTTTTGTAGCGACGAGCTGCAATAACTTTCTAAAATGTGAAGGAAAGGTAAACATACCTCGTTAAAACGATTGATGAGTGTTTGAACGGATGAGGAAAGGTTGGGAGCAGGCCAATTAGACTCTTCCTCGGTCTGGGTCGAGCTGTTGGCGGTGCTGGGATTGCTGTAGCTGCGACTCGGCGACGGGGGTGGCCTGGCAGGTGGTTTCTGCGTGTTCAGATCTTGCGCCACGTGCCTTAGGTACTCTTGCGGTGGTACCTGGTAGAACAGCTGGTACTCGGTCTCCGTCAACCTGAGCGCCACCTCCTCGGGGAAGTGCAGCAGCTTGTGCAGATCCTCCAGCTCCTCAGAGCTCCGAGGCGGCTGCGGCTGCGGCCGCTTCTCCAGCTCTAATTAAAGAAAATGTGAAAACTAACACGAACAGACTTGTGACCAGCTTTTAAGGAATTGAATCCCTTTCTGCGAAAAGCCTATTCTCCCTTCAACCGTTCAAACTGAGCTAAATGACGGACCAAATAGAAAAACAATATTGCACGTTCAAAGGTGTGTCTGCACAAGCTTGTCTTTATTACGGAAAGATTTACAGTGGTTTGCAGAACTATTAGTCTATACAAATCTATAATTCATTATTCCCCCATAAAACTGTGTTTCGGAAAAGCAGATACTACTTATGGGTGGTAGTGTCTTTATCTCACAGCTTGAAGAAAAGTTTACCCCGTTTCATTTTATATTTTACTTCGGGAATTTTTCACAGATGGTCATGAATTTTGCTTGTTTTATGGCCTTCGTTGTGAAAAAAACTTGTTCTTTTGAAAAATTGGGCATGTGTTGTAGCAAAGTAAATGTGTGGGGAAATACTTATGTGTGATAGTGCTCACCCACTGATGACCACTTATTAGTATTTGTATTAATTTAGCTTTACTGTGGCTAATAAAATTCTATTCGAGTTCAATACAATATCAAGTGTTACTACACTGCTGTCACAACACTGACATTACGTTTGCCAGACAATGTAGTTACTTGTTTCACCCTTTGACAGCGGCGCTCGTTGTCTTGTCCTCTAGATCAATAGGTAGTAACGCCGGTTGCACGATCCAATCACAGTATTCTCACATTTGGCACATAAAAAATAAATGATGCCCCCCATGGGTCCTACTTCATAGCAGGTGGCGCAGCGCTTTGTTTACCATACTGCGCTGCGTTCCTGCGGTGCTCCATTACGTTCTACTGTGCGATCCGCATAACACGTGTTGATTAACCTACCATGAGTAACGAGGAAATTAGGAAGAACCGATCTGGAGAAGAAAAAAGAGATCGATTGTGGGTAAAAAGAAGGCGACTGGCGAGGAAAATTCGTAAATATGATTCTATATTATCAAGATCGCGGAGTAGATCTCGAGATCGTTCGGGGTCTTCTGCGCATCAAGGATGGTCGAGAAGCCGTTGTGGAAGATATTACAAGAGAAAGATATGGTAACGAGTTTGATCAAGACGATGAAGAGCGTAGCCCACGAGGTGCGTCTTATCGTAGTCTATCCTCGAGTCCACGAAACGATAAAGATGGCGTCGAGCGTTGCTCACCAGGCACGTCCAGCCATGTGCAATGTCAATTGGGACACGACAAAGATGGCGTCGAGCGTCGCTCGAGACGTACAGGGACCTCGTGTTTAGTGACTGATTGTTGATTCACGATTATTGTCTAGGCGTTATCCCCACCACTGGGGGGGGGGGGGGGGGGGGGAGGGGGTGGAACCCGGCAAACGCAAATATTTTGCTGTCCCGGCGCGCCGAGGCGGCTTTCAACTCACGAGCCAACGACTGAACGTTACGAGCACACAAAAAGGTTCCATTCCCGGGTGTCGGTGTGACAATACTAATGCAACGATAAAACTTTCTTATTTTTGGATCTTTATTGATGAATCTTATATGAACATATTGGTGAGATTTTTCTGATTAAAATGACACCAAACACGATACAATTTGGATCATATTTACTTATGATTTATCAGAAGCGATAATGATCGAAAATGAACTGTTGGCACTTGCTACATGAGTAGATATGTTCCAAATTATGTCGTATTTGGTATCATTTTAACCAGAAATATTTCTCCAATATACTAGTAAAAGTTTCATCGTTACGTTAGTGTTGTCTCACCGATACCCAAAAATGTAATCTTTTTTTGGCTCGTGAATGGGTAGCCGTCTCGGCGCGCCGGGCAACAATGTATGCGCTCGATGGACTCGACGGACGAAGCGGGGTAATGTATGACGATTAGTCGAAGCGTTCAATCATCAGCGACTGCCCAGAGAACTGCCAACGAATTAAATGTAGCTGGTTCAACTCCAGTCACACGTATTTTTATTATTGGCCGAAACGGTACACACAGAATCCGACGTGTGGTCGGCTATAATGTAACCATTGGTCGGCGAGAACGTCGCAGGCGGGTCACGCAGTCGAGTGCTCATCTGCTTTCACTCTGTTTTTCAATCGCTTGTCCTTTAAATACTACAAAGGCGAGTTGCCGAGGCTTGAGCTTCGGGGAAAAAACGTATTCTCGAGGATCAAAAGTGTTTCGCGTAGTCCACGATTATTGTCCGGGCGCGGACCCGAGTTCAGGACAATAACCGCGAAGACCCTGTACGGTCAGCTATTTGCAATTCCAATTGCAACCCAACAAAGACGACGTCGATTCTCGCCCGAGAGGCATGTCAAGCCATATACACTGTCAATCGCGACATAACAAAAATGGCAGCGAGCGTCGTCCGAGGGATACACCAAACCAGAGTTTATGTTGGCAACCGCGATATGACATAGGGAATGTTCAGCTTGCCCGACAGGTACCAAGGACCGTGAATTCAGTTCTTAATATTCTGGCGAGCCAATTTCCCCATGTTTTCAGATATACAGGAAGACGGTAACATGACGCCTCCTGGCAGCGACATAGAAAGATTAACAATATCACGCCATTCTCGCAATAGGTCAATGGAGGAGGTTATAAAAAGGAATCCAACGCCCCAGGAGGAAGCGGACGTGGGAGAAAAGGAGAGTCTTTCTGCAGAAACTCTCGACTGTTAGGAGATGATTTAATAGAAGATTCGGCTGTCGGGCCGGAATTCCATAATACTGTTTCTGAAAGGTGGGTAAAAATGTTAAAATCAGGGTTGGCCAAGGACTCCAAGCAGGAACTGTGAAAAAAGTATTCACCGGCAGCAAACTGATTAACATTAAAAGCACCTATACTTAATCCCGAGGTAAAATCTGTAATGTCGAGCACTGTGCTCAAGAGGGATGAGTACCAAAGACTAGAGCAAGACCATCTAGGCAAAGCTATAAGCGCTGTCAGTGGGGCCTTGACAGAGCTCCTGATATGTGATAAGCCAGGAAAAGGATAGAGGTGAACAGGCTCATTACAATGATCAGCGAAGCGGGGAGAATTCTCACGGATCTCCACTATAGAAAGTCGGTGACGAGAATGGCATTTATTTTACCCGGATTGAGCCCGGTAGTAAAAACGATTGCAGACGGGTGTCCGGTGCAGTCGTTATTGTTTGGTGAGGACTTTTCTGAAAGAGTAAACTCCGCCAAGGCAATAGAGAAATCCACGACGGCATTCAGAAGCAAATGAGTGTACCGAGGCAGTCGGCATCATCTGCGACGAGTAGGAAGGACTATGGCGAACGAGTGAAAAATATCACCAACCGTTTAAACTCGAGAGTCCCCCTGTAAGAGTATGCTGAGCGCCACAACAGGGGGGGGGGCGGAAAGGCTATCAACCGTGGAATACGGTAGGGCGCCGGAAATAGAAATAAGTAAATTAGCTGACAGACTAGAACACTTTCTAAAATAGTGGGAATTGATTAAGACTGACAAAAATATCTTGCAAACTATTAAAGGATATAAATTACCGTTTGAAGGAAAAATCTACCAACTAAATGTACTAAAAGAACCTACTTATTCCTAGTTAGAACTGACAGTAAAAGGTTCATTCTGAATCTAAAAAGTTTAAATAAATTCATAAAGTCACCACATTTTATATTCAAGACAGAAGACCGGTTATCAGGTTACTGACAAAAACTTCTTATATGGCGTCAATTGATTTGAAAGATGCAGACTTTCTTATACCAATTAATAGTAACGATAGACAATATTTGAGAATTTTATTTAAGGGGAAATTATATTAATTTAATTGCTCACCTTTCGGGCAATGTACCGTTTCCTTCTTATTTACTAAATTGTTAAAATCGGTAGCAGAAATTCTACGGGCGAAGGGATTAAAATTTGTCTTCTACCTAGATGATGTATTACTAATGGGAAGAAGTATTACCGAATGTGAAACAAATGTAAATCTAACGAGAGAATTATTCAAGTCACTAGGCTTTATTCTAAATACGGACAAATGTCAGTTAATACCGTCAACAGAATGTAAATTTCTAGGGTTTTTATTTAACTCAGAGAAGTTTTGCCTTTCTCTACTCAACGACAAGAGACAAAAGATTGAAGGACTCGTGATGAAATTCAACAACCAATCGAAGTGCAGGATTAGAGAAATGGCACATTTGGTAGGTTTACTGGTATCGGCTTGCCCAGCTGTAAAGTATGCTTCGATATATGCGAAGGCATTGGATAGAGAAAAGTTTTTAGCGTTACGCGATAATGAGGGAAATTATAACAAATTTATGAGTGTATCAAAGCATCTGACCCCGGACCTCAATTGGTGGTTGAGAAATATAGGGACGGCAAAAAATTCAATACGACAAGGCAATTTCCAAGTTGAATTACACTCAGATGCATTCCTATCTACGGCTTACGGCTGCGTATTATGCGCTGAAATGTTATTGCATGGAGCTCAGGAGTTGTGAGATCTTTATGAGAATCGATAACACAATTGCTATATTCTATATAAATCGAAGAGGTAGTATTCAGTTCCCTAAATTAAATAAGTTAAGTAGACAAATATGGCAGTGGTGTGAGGACTGTGATTTGTGGATCTTTGCGTCCTATATCGCCTCTAGCGATAACTCGATAGCGGACGCAGAGTCAGAGGTGCTCCCAAAGGAGACTGAATGGGAATTAGCAGACTGGGCGTTTGATAAGATAGAAGAAAAATTCGGAAAATTTGACATTGACTTATTCGCGTCAAGTGCCAATAATAAGTGCAAGCAATTTATATCCTGGCGTAGAGATCCCCATGCATTAAAAATTGACGCGTACACTAAAATGGGACGAATTCTACTTTTATGCGTTTCCACCTTTTTCGCTAGTATTAAGAACTTTACAAAAGATAATAGATAATAAAGCAGAGGGACTCGTAGTGGTTCCATATTCGCCGACTCAGCCGTGGTATCCGTTGTTTGTAGAGGCAATGATAACAGAGCCAATGTATTTTAAACCGCAAAGTAATTTGTTAAAATACGCTTGCAAGGAAGACCATCCACTGCCAGCGACCCTAACACTGACAGTAGGCAAGTTATCCGAGAAGCGTTTAAAATGACAGGCGTCCCTGAAACAGCGATCCCAGTGATGTTGCACTTATTGTCAGAAGCCACCGTAAAGCAGTACGACAAACCATTGAGATTATGGTGGTTATACTGCCAAAAGATCAAGGTAGCATTTTATAACCCGTTCACTGAGAATGTTTTCGAATTTTTGTCGTCACTGTCAGACGTAGTCAAAACATATGGAATGCTTAATAGCTATAGGTCCGCAATATCCTTTGTCTCTCAGAAGGAGATTGGGGAAGACCCACGCATGAAAAGATTTTTTGAGGGACTAGTTAGATTAAAGCCACAAACTATAAAGTACAAAACGGTATGGGATCCAGAAAAAGTCCTAGAATATCTAGATAGGGATGAAACCAGTGAGAAACTAACCCTGGAGAGATTGTCAAAGGAACTGGCAATTCTACTTGCGTTAGCCACTGGAGGACGAGTGCAAACCATCTCCTGAATACGTTTAAGTAACATTAAGGTAGAGACCTAAATAAGAATCCGCATGACAGACCATTTAAAAACGACCAGAGTTAAATATAAGCAACCAAACCTAGTTTTAGCTTACTTGCGCGACAGACCAAGGATTTGCGTAGCCTCATTATTACACAAATATGTTAACAGACCAAAGCATATACGCGATAATGAGAATAGGTTATTAAGTACGTATAGGAACCCGCATAAGGCAGCAACTGCTCAGTCTATTAGCCGATGGATTAAGAATATGCTAA